GTTATGGAATGAATAAAGTTTCACCCCCAAAACAATCAACATTTTTGGGTCATTCAAAAATCCATTTTAGAGAGGGTACATTAAGAAGAGTGAATACATTTGAGACCTGGTTTGAGAACTGTGCAAGTGAAGATGTTTTATCATGGAAACTGAAGGTGATTCAACCTGCAAGCTGCCAGGTTCAACCATACGTAAATATGTTCATTCAGGGCCCCATGAAAGACCACTACTTGTTGGTGAATGGGCTACCCTGTCAAAAGATTAGAAATAATACGGTTCAATTTAATGGTTCATTATACTAACATAAAACATTAATTCTGTTTTAAGCATTAGTTTCATTCAATATACATGTACATGTACTGAGATCAAATGATTCTTACACCTTTAAATATTTCAATACATATGTAACTCAATACCATGAGGGGCAGTGAAGCATGCATCTTAGCAAAAAATGCCACTTTCTGGAGAAAAAAAGGTAGCACCTACAAAGGGTGACCTCAAAGTAATAACTTACGATCTTTAGACATTGTACATATCCCTACGTTATAATGAATACATATCAGGGGTGATCATCAAGATTTCCTCTTTATGTTGTCTAAGAAACTGCTTCAGCAGCATAATTAGGTGGTCTGTCGATGACAGATCACCTATTGATTTCGTTAGAATTTTCTCTCTTTATTTATTTATTTATTCTTTATTTATTTTTATTTCTTCCGTACACTTTTTTGGGCACACGTTTACTCGAAATCGACACAGTCAATTTTCTTCGAATTTCTGTCAGTCATCAGGCCCTATAATTTCAAGTCTAATCAACTTTTTCAAGGTCATTAGGTCATCGTGACGTCATCCAGGCGCCATTTTGTAAAAATCAGGTCATTATCATATCTCGATAACGAGTCCTCAAAAATAAACCATATTTGGTATACATCAACTTCAGGTCAAAGGTCAACTAAAAATGTCAACAAATTCCGCGCGTGCTCCTCGACGCACACGAACGCGCGCATCAAAATTTTAAAATGCTAAAATTCGTTCCAAATTTTTTTTGCACACGTTTCAGGCCATTGTAAGCATTTTCAAAATTTTGCACGAGAGCACTAATTATGTGTGCGCGTTTCCGCGCATAACCGCGCGTACTGACATTTCGCAACATAGAAACGCCAAATGTCCTCTATCATATTTACCACATTTTCCAAGCATTTTGATACCTTGTTCATCTTTTTCTGACCAGTGATAACGCAATGAGCGTCCGTCAAAGTTAACAGCACGCGTGGATCTGCGCTATTCTTATCCACATTACATGTGCAAAAACAAGCCTATACAAAATTCATTTTAACTCTTCAGAATGGATAGATACCCCCAATTTTTTTTCATATTTAGATAGATTACGAGTCGGAGATATGATTTCATGTCTCATTTGACCCTCAATTAACTCATGACATTATCATAATGGCCTCCGAACTCAAAATTTCAATTTGCATATTATGACGTTAGCAGATTTTTGGAAAATTGATTGTATCTCTGTAAATATTGACCAATTTTCTTTCAAATTTTGATATGTTTTAGCTGAGAATATTCTCTACAAATGCGGTCACCACGATATTTCATTTTGACAATGGCATCATGGCGTATTTTTGCGATTAAAGGAGGCATGTCAATTTTTCACATTTTGCATATATTCTCTATGGGACATGACTTTTTCTCAAATCTGGATTCTACATTCTTGTCTTTTGCGAGCAATATCGCCGTTATTTCGGCTTGATTTTTGTTGATTTTTGAGTATGTTGTAGCCGAGACTATATACTATCTAAATGTTCTCTCATTTTTTTCAGTCTGATGTCATCATGGTCTGTTGATGATAATCATCGACATCATCATCATCATCATCACCATTATACTATCAAGATCATCATCATGATCATCATGATGATCATCATTGTTTACATGTTTATATAACTTCTCCCTTTCTCAATATAGTAAATATTATAATCTATCATAAGACTTGAAGACAGACCACCTTATTCGTCCTCGTGACGAATTAAATTCTAGTTTGCTGTTGTGTTTTGTCTGAACATCTAGTAGCAAACAAGACAATTATAAGTGCGAGGGAGCGTAGCGAGCCAGTTTTGGGGGAAATTTAAAGAAAAAATGCCCTTGGTCGCTTTATATTAGGGGGAACATAATTATTAGGGAGGCTACGAGAAATCCATTGTTTCTTGGGATATTAAGGGTGATAACATCTTATCATAGTACGTAGGGTAATAATGTTTGTCTTTTTAACATGAATGTAGTGTACATTATGCAGTTACCTTGAGTTTGAAAATTCCTACCTTGTGTAAACTTTTATGATCTTAAAGGTAAAGATCAGTTTTGGAAACGCCCCCCTCTCAAAAAATGAAATGGAAGCTCTTATTACCAATCCTGTGAAAGAATATGTTTTGACTATACAAATTTTGCCGAGAAACCGCCTACCAGTACTAATTGATATATTTGGTAAATTATTATATCTATTTGGACCTGATAGATATCGCGCATGTGTCACGCAGTCCCATATACATCTTTCTGTCTATGGTGCTTGTAACTTTACCAAGACTGGGCCAAATTTCTTATCATTTTGATGATTCCAGAACCTTGCAGTACACACCAATACTTATATGCTAGATGATCAAACTTTTCTGATCGATTCCACAGCGTTTCTTTCACAATGCAATCGCATGACCATAACTGGTCTTTATCTTTAAACATAGGGCATCCCATGAAGTTCAAATGGGCATGGGGTTTAGAAACTGTGATTAGTTGGAAGATACCTCTTTCGTCCTTTGAATAGAATAATGTCCTTATAGTTTGAAGGGGCTAAAGTTATAGTGTAACTAGACGGAACTTCGACTGCGCGCAGTCGAAAATGATGCCTCCGTCATAGAGCAATTTTACAAACCAAAACAGAAGAAATTTTCAAATTAAAGTTCAATTGTAATCCATTAACAGGTTCTCAGAATATCGTGATTACAAGCAATTTCTCATATACATATATGTCCCTTTGATCTTTGACCTCGTGACCCTAAAATCTACTCAGTTCATTGGCTCTGCAAGATGTCCCAAGTTAAATAGTAATCTATCTGTCAGTTCTAATGAGAATGCGTTCACAAACTATTTTTGCATACATAATGAGCCCATGACCTTTGACCTTATGAACCAAAAATCTACTCAGTTCATTGGCTCTGCAAGATACAAAAATGATCTAAGTTTGGCAGGAATCCATCAATCTGTTCTAATGATAATCCGATCACAAGCTATTTTTGCATACATAATGAGCCGCATGACCTTTGACCTTGACCTCATGACCTCAAAATCTGATCAGTTCATAGGCTCTGCAAGATACATACATGACCAAAGTTTGGCAGGAATCCATCTCTCGGTTCTTCAGATAACGCGATCACAAGCTGTTTTTGCATACATAATGAGCCCTGTGACCTTTGACCTTGTGAACCCAAAATCTAATCAGTTCATTGGCTCTGCAAGATACATACATGACCAAAGTTTGGCAGGAATCCATCAATTGGTTCTTCAGATAACGCGATCACAAGCTGTTTTTGCATACATAATGAGCCCTGTGACCTTTGACCTCGTAACCCCAAAATATTATCAGTTCATTGGCTTTGCAAGATACATACATGACCAAAGTTTGGCAGGAATCCATCAATCGGTTCTTCAGATAACGCGATCACAAAAACGGGACGTACGGACGGACAACCCGAAAACATAATGCCTCCGGCTACTTCGTAACGGAGGCATAAAAAGGGCACACTTCATATATATCTAGAGATGGACATTTGATAGCTTTGAAAACGAGCATGATTCCGTTCTTATGAACTTTGAGACATTGTGCCCCCTGCCCCCTAGCTCCAACTCCTTTTATTGCTGTGGTAGAAAAAAGGTTCTTGTTACTAAACGAACTCCTCCGATTCTATAAAACTTATATGGATCTTTAGATCACCGAAAAATGCACTTATTACAAAGGAAAAGGGACACTTGTCAGAATTGGATAGGGGCAATTATCAAAGGTGAATAGGGACATTTATAAGAAAGGAGAAGGGGTACTTATCAGAAGGAAAAAGGGCGCTTGTTAGAAAGGGAAAAGGGGACTTATCAGACGTAAACAGAAGTACTTCTCCAACCTGAAATGGGGCACTTACAAGAAGGGAATAGGGGCATTTATTACAAAGAAAAAGGTCACTTGTCAAAGTAAAAGGGGGACCTATCAGATTAGAATAGGACTTTTCAGAGGATAAAAGGGGCAAAGTTATGAGAAGGGGAAAGGGGCACTTATCTGAAGTAAACAGGGGCACTTTTAGGGTACTCAAAAAAGTGTGTGTGGGGGCGGGGGCATTGTGCCCCTCTAGCCCCCACCCCCTCCCCTCGGGAGCGCCGCCTTTAGATTCCACATACAAGTAAATCATTCCATCACCTAGCAAATATGACCAAGAACAATCTGTAAAGTAAAGTAAGTGTAGAAACATTGAGATACCGTACACTTTTAACCCATTAGCAATTTCAAATTAATTTACTTGGCCTTACACCTATGCATATATTCTTCTGACACTCTGCTGCTTTGCTACATGATTCAATGTGCTGGAACATAATTCAAAGCATTTTCACAATACTTTTGCATGGCATGGATTAGTAGGCCTATTGTGAATTTCCCAATTTTAGCCTGTGACATTTACTGAAATCAAATGTTTTGATCTTTGTGATAAATATAGTGCAGCATCACCTCATTAGGTATTAAGCACATTTTCTACATTGCATTACCGTAATATCAGGCCAGTTTGGAGTGGGTATTTGTCCCAAATGACCCCAATTTAACATCAATCTGTAAAACATGGAAAAGTCTAATTCAGATCAATCACTTCCACAGTGACCGAGGTGCTTTTGTATTACCTTGAAATACTTCTACCTGTACATCTGTTTATGAATAATAATGACAAACATTGATTTCATGAGTATTTCCAGTATTAGGTGGATTTCACAATTTAATGAAAATTACCTTTCTCCACACATGCACAGACTGTAACTACAAACTGGCATTATAACTGATCATCTTCGTATCATGTACTTCTAAAGATACACAAAGAGAGGTGTTATACCGGTACTGTGATTCATCTATATTGAAGGAAACAATATCCTACTTTCATTGGCACACACCTTTGTGTATTTCTATAGCTATACTAAGACATGGAAAACACTCATCTGCAAATGATATTCTCTTGGGTTTAAAAAACAATATAACAACTACAAATACAAGGGCACTTTGTTATCTGAGTTTCTGTGAAGATGAAATAATCTGATATTATATTTTTTAAATATCCAATGTGAGATGTACAATATTTCTTTATTAAATGTTATTGTCATGTGTTTTAATTTGATAAATATTACAGTATGTATGAGATGTAGTAAAAAATAAAATTGTTAAGCAATACATGTACACGTATTTCATTTAAGTGCATAATACACATCTAGGCATAAATCATACAATTTTAATGGTTCAATGGTACGATCTTATGCAAGCCAAAAATACTTGTGGATATCTTTACTCTCAAATCTTCTTTATCTTTTCTGGCTTCTTTCTCTAATCCTTCTCTTGTGTCCGGTTTTGTAACTTTAACGGATCTTTGATACATGATTTCAAAATCACTGTCACTTTCATCCTCTTCCTCATCCTCATCCTCATCATCATTTACAGAAAACTCCTCCAATGATTCCTCTCCTTCATATTTGCTATCACTCTTGTTCAGTTCTTTCTCTAGTTCATCATATTCACATGAGTGAATCATATCATCTGAATTTTTACTGCTACATTCCTGCTCCTGACTAACATTATCACCCATAACCTCCTGGAGCTCATTGTCTTCAAGTGGCATGTACATTTTAGGAGAATTAATCTTCCTTGCTTTACGTAAGTGATAGAGAGTGTTTTCATGAATTCTGTATGAAGGTGATTCTCGCAGTTCCTTCTTCCTCAACCTCTGTCTCTCTCGCTCATTCTCTCTGTACACAGAGTCTTGCCTCTGAAGTCGACGTATATTTCTCTGTTTCTCGATGTACACTGTTCTCTCCTCTGGGGTCTGCAAGAGGCGGCGCAATCGCTGACGTTCTCGGTTACGTTCCCTCTCCTGCTCCCTTTGTTCTTCTGTCATATTGGATCTGGCTCTCTGAGTGCATTCTCTGTTTCGCTTCCGTAACTGATCCATGAATTGTTTAGTGAACCAAGGGACTGGTTGGTCTGTGAGTAATTCTGACTGAGGACTTGCATCCGGAGTTTGATCAGCAGAGGGACATGAATTGTTTGGGGTTTCAGTGACCTGTCTTTGATGAAAATCTGTTTCAGTCTTAATATTTACAGCTTTCCAATGATCATATCCCATGCTTTCCTGAAGGCCAGTGTCACTTGCAGGGTTAGAAAGCGAGTCCTTAGTTTGTGACCTCCCTCTGGCAACAACCTTCTCTATTTCGGCAAGCCTCTTCCTTCTCATTCTACTTCGCTCACGGTTTTTTCTTTTTTCTTCCTCTCTTTCCTCTCTGTCTGCCTTGCCCTCCTTCTACGCTGCCTGATTTTATTTTTAAGCTTCTCTTGCTCCAGCTTACTGTAAGTAGACTCTTCTCCCAGCAGATCACTAGATTCAGTTGGCATATTCACAGTCTCACAGCTAATAGATCCCTCCACGGACCTGGCAGTAAGTCCAGGATCTGGCATTGGATTAGCCTGTTCATCCACTTGGGCATCATCCACCACTGATAGTCCAGGATCCTGTACTGGATTGGCTTCTTCATTCACACGAGCTGTACTATCCTTGATCAGGAGTTCTGGTTGTGGCATTAGTTGTATTCTTTCATTCACATCAGTATTAGTAATACCTACTGAACTAGAGTCCCATTCATACAAAATTTGAGTCCTCTGATGTCGCTTTCGCTGATACTCCCTGCTGTAGCTTCTCTCTCTGTCCCTCTGCTCTGATGAAAAACTAGCTCTCCTCTTCCTCATTTCATCTCTTTGCTTTGCTTTCCTTAGCTCAATTAGCTCCTCCACCAAGTTCTCTCTCTGTTCACGATTTAAATCTTTATGCAACAGCTCATTGTGTCTCTCTGTAATCACTGACCTGAATGCCCGCAAGGGGTTGCTTCGAGCTCTTCTCTTGTACTCTCTGCTTTTCCTCCTTTCCTCTGCCTTCCGCTCTTCTGTCATTTGAGATCTCCTTTTCCTCTTTTGTTCCCTATTAATCCACTTTCTAATAGCAATGAACTCTGTCATGATAGTATCTCTCATAGTAGGATCAAGGTCAGGCTGTAACAGTAGCTTTCTCTGCTCTTCAGTCATGATGTGACGAAACTCAATGAAAGGATCCTGCCTTGATCTACGTTTTCTCTCACGATTCCTACGTCTCTCTTCCTCCAACTGCTCATGGTTTAAGCGTGCCCTCCGAAGTCTCTTGGAATCACGATGCTTAGCTCTAAGCAACTCTTGCAGTTCTACGAACAGTTCTATCATATCTGAATCTGACAAGCCTTTTGATATCAAGCTTCTGTGTTCAAGTGTCATTACAGAATGGAATGGTTTAAATGAATCACTTTTGAGGGTAGGTTCATTTTGCTTTTTCCCCCTGTATGGAATACTTGGTTTCAATGTCTGTTGATTATTTCTTTCTCTAACCTGCCTTTGAGATTTTTGAGGAAATGCTCTTAAACCTTCTGACCTTGTTTTTCTTGCCCGAATCCGATGTGTGATACCTGAAAGGAAATAAAAAGTTCAAAACATAAAAAAGTCATTATCCAAAGTATCATTTAAAAAAAAAAAGAAATAATACAATTCTATATTGATGATATATGCAATTTTATATCGCTATTTGAAACAAATTTCAACTAGATTCAACCAGTATTCATTTTTATGCGACAATACTTCACAGAATTTGATGAACATGTTTTCTGTGAACATCTTATTTTCTGCAGTAGGGGATTTTAAATTTCTGCAACAGTTCATATACAGTGTACATGTACATGTATTTCACCTTCTGTATGAATAGTCAACACAAGGATTATAACATCAGTACAGTCATCAACAATAATATTCACCTATGGTTGAGGCATGTGAGTTTCCCTTAGAACTTGATGGGGCCATCTCAGGGGTTTCAGGATTTTGAAATGCTATATTAGCTGTATCTGGATTGGTTGAAGAAATCAAAAAGGAATTATAAAAGCTTGTAAAAGAAGATGAGTTAAAGCCCCTCTATAGTGTTGGGAGCCCCAACAATTTGATGGCAAAATTTCACTTCAATTGTATCATAATGTGAAAGGGGATGTCATTTAAGACACATTTCTGCAAGGATTTTCAAAACAAATGTGTTTGAAGTCAAATATTGATGAAAGAATACGAGATTGAGGTTTTCTGCATACAACAGAAAACCCAAATTATATATTCTTTTATGAATATTTATCTTCGATTTGGGGCTTTAACACTTTATTGTATATCAATGCCAATCAATACTAAATGTTTAAGTTTAAAAACATCCACTGGGTAATTCTGTGATATCATAATTCAATCTAACATTCAATCTAACATCAAACATGATGAAGATATTGTTTTAAACAGTATGGAGAACAATGGCTACAATATTATTCTATTTTTATACATGTAAACTTTTTTCTTTGCTTTATGGTAATGATTGATCATGAAAAAGACCAATTTAGTGGATGGAACATACCTGAGTAAATGTTAGTCTGCAAATTTGTGTCTGGAGAGGGCCAGTCTAAGAAATAGAACATACGGTAAGAAGGAAAAAAAAAACATATATATTGCAACAGATACCACCAAAAAAAAATCTAACTAGATGGACCTTCGACCGCGCACAGTCGAAAATGATGCCTCCGCCATGGAGCAATTTTATAAACCAAAACAGAAATGAGCTATTTTTGCATAAATAATGAGCCCTGTGACCTTTGACCTTGGATCTCGCGACCCCAAAATCTAATCAGTTCATTGGCTCTGCAAGATACATACATGACCAAAGTTTGGCGGGAATCCATCAATCGGTTCTTGAGATAACGCGATCACGGACGGACAACCCGAAAACATAATGCCTCCGGCTACTTTGTAGCGGAGGCATAAAAATCAACTAGCCAAGAATAATATATGGTCATTTGTATTCAAATTACTAATCAATTGAAGTTGAAACAGAAAACATTGCTAAATAGATTCAAGAGACTTTAATAGCTTAAGGATAATATGATCAACTAAAAATGTATCAACCCCAAACTAATTACTATTGAAAGACATAGCACTATTAATCATTTTACATCAAACAAAGCTCTGAGCAAAAACAAATTCCTTAATTGAAGGAAAAGTAAATCACATAGGGCAGAAAGCCTGCTAAGATGCTAAAAGCAATTCTTTAGCATAGAGTAAATGACTACCTATATGGCTCTCAACAGCAAAATTACATTGATCTCCTAATGAAGATACCTTCTTTTGAGTAGACAAGCACTGGTTGAGAGTGTTCCTGAAGCTGATCAAACTCTATGGCTGCTTCATGCTGATGACGGAACTCCATTGATGTCTTCATGCCATTTGCCATAGATGACACTGGATCACAAAAATGGGTAGCTTGCTTGAAATCTGTGGCAGGTAGCCCAAGGGATTGGGATGATGATGGGCCTCTGAAAGTAGTATTCAGCTTGATCTCTAGTGACTGTCTATCAGATTGTTGACCTGTAACATGGGGACGCTGCTTGACATATGTGCCTAGTCTACCGGTAGGTTGGTCAATGGATGATGCAGGCGATACCATAGATGCAATAGACGCAAGGAGAGTGGAGGCATTGACATCCATGTTGGGGGTTGCAGTTTCCAAGACTGGAAGGGATGGGGCTGGAACTAAACTCTCTGGTGCTGAAGGGACTGGTGGAAGGCTCTGACAGGGCAAGTCTCCAGCATCTTGTATATCAAAGGCAGCCATTATATCACTCAGTTGAAGACCACCAACTATTCCAGATGTCATCTTGTCAACAGCCTTTATAAAGAGGAAAAGTATAATACCAATTTAAAACTGAATCATAATATCACTTAATCAATTCACAACCACTTATTTTACATTGCTATGAAGCACTATAAAAGTATAAAAAGGTCTTCTTTTTTTCTTCACCCTTTAGCAAAATTTGTTTGTTGTTGTTTTGTTTTGTTTTGTTTGTCACAATGCCTGTCACCACCAAACATGTTTCAATGACAAAAATGCAGGGCAACATATAAAAAATATGTGCAATAATAATTTAAGTGTTGGAATCAGTGCCCTTTGGCAATTGGTAATTCATCCCCAACCCTTCCCAAATTACAGTCATTACAAGTTCTTAAATGTGAAGGTATAGGGTGTGTTTATCATGCCTTGCCTCTCATAATCAGCGTTTCTATATGTACATATTGAACCCCATTATACGAACGTGATATGCGGGATGTCACGTTTATCGTCTCTTCAAGATTCAAAATAAAGGCCTTGTCTCTGCGCAGCTGCTTTGCGCCACTTGACTCGGGAAGCAAACAGTTTCTCGGAGGTCAACTAGAGCGAGTACACACACACATGCTTGTACAACATGACACAGTACATGGCGCGCGCTATTTCTTGGAACCAGAAATTAGCCTGGGAAGGTCCAATTTGTATGTGGGGTTCATAACAGTTTTTCGTTTATCATCTCTCAATAACGTGATTCTGGCTGTATGTCACATTAAAAATGCACTTTTTTTCAGCATTACAATATGCCCATTTCTAAAGACGTTTGGAAAGGCTTTGTGTTTATCACCATTTTTTTGCCTAGAATCATCGGTAGGTTATGTGAACTAATTCTAAATCGACAGATATTTGTTCGTAGTCTACGGTTTTTAACAGTTAATAAATATTTCTCTGTTTGTAAACTCTGCTTAAATAGATATGTTCTCGATTTATTTTGTTCATTGCCATTTACACAATCACTACATAAATCCATCAAGAGCTGGTAGTGGTAAAAGTCTTCCATTTTGGTTTCTATTTCTTCTCCAACTACTCTATCACTATCGATAATGTCATCCAATTCTAAACAATCATCATTTTCATCCACAAATAACTTACATGTAAATCCCCTGAGAAGCTGGTGCTTATTTCCTAACCATAATTCTAATATTTCGTTATACGGGGGAAAGGATCAAATTACAAATCAAAATCAATTGTTTAGATTTTGCGGTAGCAATAATAATGCACTCAACTGTGTTCTGATGGTTGTAAGACAAGAAATATTTTCAGCTAAATTACGAAATCAACTACCATCATTTGATATAATTTTATCAGCTGTAAAACGTTATTATGAAATGGAAAATATATATACCAAACAAATCTCAGAGAGAATTATAAATTGAAAAAGAAATAGTTTCACTTTAGAAAATATTTTGAGAGTGTTGGAAATGTGCTAACATAAACATGATCATGTATTTTATGTTTGGTATTTTTTAATTATATATTTAAAGTACTAATTTTGTTATAAATGTTTTTTTTATCTGCCACAAAAGTTTTCGGCCGTGATGATTATTATCTGTGACAAGCCATTATGTATGGAAATTATTTCTTTAATTATTTGTATATAATATATTTGTATATGATATATGGATATACTGTATATGATGGAATTTGTTATGAAAATAAAGAAACCTGTAGGAGGGGAAGAAAAAAAGAAGAAAAAAAAAAATCACAATTATTTTCAATCAACTTTTTGTTTTCTTGGAAAGAGTGGTATAATAATGAATCAGTAATTTCTCATTCGTGCATAATACTTTCCCCAAGTTTCGACAAATTTGTATAATTAAAAGTCAAAGATAAAGACCAATTATGGTCATGCGATTGCATTGTGAAAGAAGCACTGTGGAATCGGATCAGTAAAGGTTGATCATCTAGCATATACATGTACATGTAAGTATTGGTGTGTACTGCAAGGTTCTGGAATCATCAAAATGATAAGAAATTTGGCTCAGTCTTGGTAAAGTTACAAGCCCTGTACACAGAAAGATGTATATGGGACTACCTGTACGCACACCTGCGCGACACATGCGTTATATCTATCAGGTCCAAATAAATATAATAATTTACCAAATATATCAATTAGTAGGTGGTTTCTCGGCAAAATTTGTATGATCACGTATTAGTCAAAACATATTCTTTCACATGATTGGTATTAATAAGAGCTTCCATTTTATTTTTTGAGAGGGGGGTGTTTCCAAAACTGGTCTTTACCTTTAAAGGGTACGATCCAACTTCGGCTAGTATTGTCAGATGGCAGCTTTTTTATTACCACCTAAAACATTTCTCAACCATTGGAATTTTCCATTCAGTTCCACAGGATTTAGTTCCCAACTCATTGGGCAGGTCATTTATATATAGATTAAACTGGGTGGGACTGTACAGTCTTGTTTTATACCACAAGGCACAATTGGCTTCAAAATACTGGGTAATCACTTCATTCAGCTTTACATACACTCAGTTTTAAGTTTTTATACATGTTAGAAATAATTTGTAAAAACTGGCCTCCGATTCCACATGTCAACATTTATAAAACAGATCTTTCCTCCAAACACTATGGAAGGCTTTCCACAGATCGACAAAGCACAAATATACATGACTCTTGTCACCAGCCTTGTTTGTTTTCATGTATTTAAGTGTAAATATATGGTCTGATGTTCTTTGTCCTTCCTAGACCGAAAGCTTCAGTCTCTGATATCGACAGTTGTTCTGCTGAGATTGCATCTGGCTCCTCTGACCGCCTCTATACATAAGACTTAAGTACGGCCTATGCCTATGGGGACTGAGTGGAACAAATGGTTTGGTTCGGTTCGGCCGGACCGTGATGAATGAGATATGTAACAAGATTTTCACTCTTTACATCCTCATAAATGCACTTTTGCTGCAATATTACAATAGGATTATTAAAATATAAAAAATAACAAACAAACATGGCTTTGACTTACGATAGCTTGCTCATTTAGATCCTAAATTAATGATTAATCCGAGAAAGTCTCGTAGTCGACATGATTTATTGTCATCCATCTTGGTTTTAGTTGATGAATATTCATTTTTTATTTTCGAATGTCCAATAGCTACGTACGAGTCAACCCAGTGATATATGAATATTCATAAACCCAATACAAAACGAGTGCTCTGGTTGGCCATTTGCTATGCTTTGGTAGGTTGACCCGGAAATATATCGGCCGGGTCAGGTCATAGATTACTAGTTTGAATGGATGAACATATGTTTCACGGTTCGGAGAAAAAAAATTGGATAACTCATATAAGTAAGTCCGTAAATTTCGCATTTGTATAATGGGTCATATAAAAATATTTAGTGTAAATAGGAGAACAATACATAGATATATACCTATTTTATATCTGATTTATAAATCAGAAAATTAGATTAAATAGTGAAAATCGGGGGAGAAAGTTTCTGTCACAAAGTGGTATGAATAGTTGGCCAGATTACCCCCTCAGTGCGAGACCTCTGTAGTACCGTCTGTACAGGCCTCTCGCCAAGAAATTAAAAAGGCGTGGCGACCCGAGGGAAAATTTGACCCCCCCAAAAAACAAACAAAAAAAAATTTAAAAAAAAAAAAAAAGGTAAAAATCTTTTTTTTTTTTTTTTTTTCTTTTTTAATAATTTTTTTTTAAAGTTTACAAGTATTACAAGTAATCTGATTAATGTTTATTCCTATATTATATTCTGGGTCATTGTCATATTTACCCTTGCACTAAATAATCGAAATCATCAATGTTATAGTAGTCAGTAGTCAATGGTGGAATTTGTGAAATGTTACAAAGAAAACAAAATGAGAATGATCCTAGTTGTTTGAATTTTGATCGGGATAGACCAAGTCATGTATTTAAAGCTGTAATTATTTTATATTTTAATTTATATTCTATGTGCACACAATGCCATACCTGCCAACCCTTACGAATAAGAAGACGTGGCGCACGCGCCACGCGTTCTCTGTGTACGTGAGGGCGCTGCGTCTGTATATGGGGAATGTCAACAAATGTCAGTTTTATTAAAGAAATGACCCATATCAGACAGTTATTTCTGTCTATGTCCTTCCCTGAAACCTATTTGGTTCTGGACATAATTTTATATCATTATCCATTAGGTATTTGACCAAATGTCTGTTTAAAATATGGCAAAATAACTTTCCAACTGAGCTCGGGAGACATATTCCTCGATAGTTGGCTTGGTTGGTTTTAAAACCTCCTTTAAACAATGGAATTATATAGCTTTCAGACCACTTTTGGGGAAACTTTCCACTAAGCAGAAACATGTTAAAACGGTTGTATTTACCAGTAGGTCTACTCAGAGTTACAAATGATATGTTATATTAGATCTATGTCGTTAAAATTCTGGAGAGAGATTTGTGTATTTTGTTTTTTACAGTACCTTGAGTAAACAATTAGGAAAGTGCGCTTTATAAATAATTATAATATTATTATCAATCAGAATTATATTAAATATTTGTGCTAAAGCTGGTGAAAAATCGTATAATCCTGCTTTTAACATTTCATTCAAAATTGCATCACATTTGTGTGTTTTCGTTTGTGTGTTTGTGCCTGCGATTATGACAAAAAAGGATCAAACTTATCAACGTCAGGGCAGTATCGTCTTATCGTACACCTGTAGGCCTAGCTGTAGATCTAGACTGTATCTTCCACGTACTTCATCATACATGTACGATCATAGGCGATCATTCAGTCTCTATAATCGGAGGTCTAGTGCAGTGGAGCCAGACGTAGTCTCAGTGGAACAACCAACGATAGAGACAGTAGGGGTGCTGGTCCGAGAATGAGGATCGTCCTCATAAACGCGGAAAAAATGCGTTCTCATAAACAAGGATCATCTGCATTTTCGCAGACTTTTTTTTTCATCGGCGCTCTGCGGGTTTCAGGTTACCAAACCGCCCGCTGGCAATGCCAAATTTGGATTCCCGGGAATCAATCAATCTCATCCCTTCTAGTCTACGCCGAAGGCAAAATGATAATGAAGGAAAAACTGTGATAACGCCATTACGAACGTGTAGATGGAGCAGTTTTTCCTTCATAATCATTTTGCCTTCGGCGTAGACTAGAAGGGATGAGATTGATTTAGACGACTCCATGCGCAGCGAGAGTTTAACACGGCTTGCAAGATTTTCAACATGGATGTCGATTTTGACCCATAATTTCCTTAAAAGGGACCATTAAACGGATTATTTCAGTCAAGTTAGTAGAGTCTAAGTGGAACCGATATATTATAGCCTAGGCCTAGACTAATTTACAATTGGATATAGTCTAGGGTCTAGGTCTACACGAGGTAAAATGACATTTTGGGGGATTTTGGGGGCATAACAATACGACCTGAAATGGCCGTGGCGTTATCAAGGGAATGTGTATAGACGGTTTCCGTCTCTAAAGAGAGAGCCGACCCTACCCCAATAAGAGGCTAACAAACGAAAGAGACGGAAAATTCGTTCTAGGCTAGGGTCTAGACCAAAAGCTTCAGTCTCTCTAGATCTAGTAGACCTAGATCTAGATCTAGTACTAGGGTCTAGGCCTAGTATTTAGTAATCATCATACGGGAAGAAGGCGTTGGCCTGTAATTCCCGGTCACTGCTTCTAACAAAGTTAGGTTTAGCCTGTTGGATGCAGCTATTGTGTGGAGCTATAGAGGTCGATACGCGTTAGCATTGACCCCTCTAGCCTTCTAGGCTTATGTTGTGGATCTAGAGCTAGAGTCTAGTGCTGTATTGTACGTACCCGTCTGTCCATCCGGTTGATATCACAAGTTTCAGCTGAAATGAAATTAGATCTACAGATGATCAGATGATGAGGCTAGGCCTTGCCCTAGATCTACTCCGAAACTGAGCATTAACGAACAAACAGTCAGTGTTCATGAATATCTCGACAACAAACTATAGATCGATGTTGTTGTCCAAGTTCACAAACAAGGAAATCCTGTCTGAGCTGACCTCCAAACATGATAGTCTACCGTATACCCGCTACTTCAAAATTTGAGAAGGGAAAAACAAACACACATCTACGAATTCCAGACAACTCGCCCCAAAGACAGCTCGCCCTAGACAACTCGACACAATACCCTGGACAACTCGCCACGGTCGAGTTGTCCAGGGTGCAGGTGGGTGCCTTTTCGGACAGCTCGCCACACTTTTTTCCCCTCATGATTTCTAGATCTAAAATCCCTCATCTTAGATGAAATTGTCATTTTATGTATTCATTATTCTTTTATAAACACAGTCATGACAGTAAACATGGAAATTGTGAGTATTTTGAGAGCCGTTCTAAAGAATAAAGATGATTTTCCTTGCGCTTGCAACAAGACCCGCAACAAGAATCTATTTTGGACAAACCGAAGCGGCGTACGACTCATAACTTGCAGGGGCGTCGCTAGACCTTTTTCAGTAGGAGGGGGGGGGGGGGCGTGTAGAGGCCAACGATTACCGACAAAACTAGCCACCAATTACCGATAAAATTAAATGTCCAATATCTACAAATTTAACCCTATAAACCTAGGGCCGAAGGCTAAATTCCTTTTTCTATGGACTATTAGTATTTGCGTATGCGCAAATGGTCATTTTCTTCGACGACATAAATATACGAATTATTTCGTCAACTTAATTGCATCATAGCTATATATTTTTATGCAGGCGCGGAGCTAGGATCTTATTTTAAGAAGAGGCGGTAGTGAACAGGCGAATCACTTAAAGAGCGCGCAAAGCGCGGAAGCTTAGACGTTTCCTTAAATTATTAGGAAAAGAAGAAGATTTATTGTACCGTTCTCGATCGACTGTTAATCCTTGAGTCTGAATGAAGTCCCCCCCCCCCCCCCCTCTCGCGCGAAGCGCGGAAGCTTTGACGTTTCATTAAATTATGAGAAAAAGCAGACGATTCGGTGTTCTGTTCTCGACTCTTAATCCTTGTCTGAATTCAGTTTCTCCCCCTATCGCGCGAAGCGCTGAAGCTTAGACGTTTCATTAAATTATGAGAAAAGCAGACGATTCGGGGTCTGTTCTCGACTCTTAATCCTTGTCTGAATTCAGTTTCTCCCCCTATCGCGCGAAGCGCGGAAGCTTTGACGTTTCATTAAATTATGAGAAAAAGTAGACGATTCGGTGTACAGTTCTCGACTCTTAATCCTTGTCTGAATTCAGTCAGCTTGAACAGGATAACCCACGAAAGCTCGAGAGCTTATTTCCAGTGGGATCCCTTAATTCTTGTCTGATTGAAGCTTCCCCCTCCCGCTTCATTAAACTATTAGAGATAGAAGACGATACGTTGTACCGTTTTCGACTCTTAATAAGCCCTGATTGTCTGAATTCAGTTTCCCACGTTAGCGCGAAGCGCGGAAGCTTTGACGTTTCCTTATATTATTAGGAAAGAAGACGATAATTCGTTGTACCGTTCTCGACTCTTCTAAATGACGTTGTTCATCACAATATAGAGAAAGAAAAACGATTCGACGTACCGTTTTCGACTCTTATTAAGCCCTATTCATCTGAATTGAGTTTCTCCCTCTCGCGCGAAGCGCGGAATCTTTTACGTTTTATTAAATCATTAGCGAAGGAAGACGATTCGTTGTAGCCTACCGTTTATGACTTTTAATCCTCGTCTAAATTCAGTTTTCCCCCTCCCGCTCGAAGCGCGGAAGCTTTTAAGTTTCATTAAATCACTAGAGAAAGAAGACGATTCATTGTACCGTTCTCGACACTTAATCCTTGTCTAAATTCATTCCCCCCCCTCCCGCGCGAAGCGCTGAAGCTTCAACGTTTCATTAAATTATAAGAGAAAGAAGACGATTCGTTGTACCGATTTCAAAAAATATCCTCGTCGGAATTCAGTTTCCCCTCCCCTCTCCCGCTCGAAGCGCGGAAGCTTTGACGTTTCATTAATTCATTACAGAAAGAAGACGATTCTTATTACCGTTCTAGACTCTTAATCCTTGTCTGAATTTTTTTCCCTCTCCCGCGCAAAGCGCGGAATCTTTTACGTTTCATTAAATCATTAGCAAAAAAAGACGATTCGTTGTACCGTTATGACTTTTAATCCTCTTCTAAATTCAGTTTCCCCCTCCCGCTCGAATCGCGGAAGCTTTTAAGTTTCATTAAATCACTAGAGAAAGAAAACGTTTTTTTTTTTACCGTTCTCGACACTTAATCCTTGTCTAAAGTCATTCCCCCCCCCCCCCCCTCCCGCGCGAAGCGCTGAAGCTTCAACGTTTCATTAATTTATTAGAGAAAGAAGACGATTCTCATTACCATTCTCGACTCTTAATCCTTGTCTGAATTCAGTTCCACCCCCCCCCCCTCCTGCGCGAAGCGCGGAAGTTTTGACGTTTTATTAAAATTTTAGAGAAAGAAAACGATTCCTTGTACCGTTCTAGACTCTTAATCCTTGTCTGAATTTCAAAAATGTTCTTTGTCTACTCCCTTTTCTTCCTACGTCCTCTTCTTTTTCACTCCTCTCTTTTTTTTGGCCGGCGTTTTTTGGGGGACCCCCCCCCCCCATTGCCCCCTGGCTACGCACCTGCGGTCAGATGAATATATGTTGATACCTTGTCCGCCCCCAGAAGCTCAGGGGTTTAAGGCAATAATTGACGGTCAGATTAGCAATCAGGGGTCAGCCTTAGGGTCCTAGGCGGGGTCCAGGGGTAGAGCCCCGGAAGTTCAGGGGTTTTAGGCATTTAATTACGGTCAGATTGTGACACTGGCAGGTCACTAATTGGCGTGGGGTTCAGGGGCGGAGCCCCCGCGAGCTCCAGGGTTTTAGGCACTCAATTACGGTCAGATGAGTATCAAGGGTCCCGCCTTAGGGCTCTTTGTTGGGTCCAGGGGCAGGGGCGGATCTAGCTTTTTGCTCAGGGGGGGGGGGTGACCAATAATGACGATGCGGAGCATCGTCCACGAGCCGCGAAGCGGCGAGCCGATTTTTTTGGGGTGTTATTTGAACCCCGTAAGTGATGTTTTCCTGGCATCTATTAACACAATGGAGACCATAAAAAGCAGTGCATGATAACGTCTTTTTAAATCAAGTAACAGTTAAATACACAGTTATATCCAGAGTTATCATGTGTTTGGTTAAGTTACCAGATGAGTTGAATATCTTCTCACAATATTTGCACTTGAAAGGGTTTCTCTCCAGCGTGCGTTATTTTTTTTATTTTTTTTTTTCCTTTTTTTTTTTTTTTTTTTTTAATGTGGGGATTTTGGGGGATGAGAATCGGCAACGCTGGCCTAGCTTGCACTTCGGCGGTGGCCCGTGTCCTCAAAAAAGCTGATGGGGGGGGGGGGGGCAAGGGACTCTGTGACATTTGTTCGCCCAACCCCCCCCCTCTCCCCCCAAAAAGAAATAATAATAATAATAATAATAATAATAATATAATAATAATAATAGTAAATGAAATAAATACATAGAAATAGAATAAAATAAAATTACAAGTTTTAAAAAAAAGATAAGATTTAAAAAAATGGTCCCCGGATTTTTTTTGGGGGGGTTGCAACCCCCCCCCCCCACCCCCCCTCTAGATCCGCTTCTGAGGGGGCAGAGCCCCGGAAGCTCAGGGGTTTAAGGCCTTTAATTACGGTCAGATGAGCATTTTTCGATACCTTATTATTTGTGACACTTGCAGGACACTATTTGGTGTGGGGTTCTGGGGGCAGAGCCCCCAGAAATCAGGGGTTTTAGGCATAAAATTATCGTCAGAAGAGCACCTAAGGGCCCTAGGTGGAATCCAGGGGGCAGAGCCCTTCGTTTTTAGGCATTTAATCATGGTCAGATGAGCATATTTTGATACCTCATTATAATGTGACACTAGCAGTTAACTATTTTTTCTTTCTTGCTCTCTTTCTTTTTATTTCTCTTTAATATACTTTTTCAAAAAAGTATGGGGGAGGGGGGGGGGGGGGGGGGGCCAAGGATCCCGATCCTCGCCGTTCCGCGGGCCCTGACATGTAGGCATCTCAAAAAGCATTTTCTTGCCTGGCTGTAAATTTAGGAATTTGTCATTTTCCAACAAACGCATTAAAAAATGTCTAATTTACTTAAAATTGAGGAAAAATCTCGGAAAATGATGCCATTTCAGAATTATTTGTAAACCACCGTTATGAAATTAGAAATAAACCACGTTTGAATTTTATTTCCTCAAGTACCCCCTCCCCTGTCAGTACGCCAGCCCCCCCCCCCGATCTACATCTTGTTGGCGGGAAAATTGCCACTTCCTTCTCTCTCTTTAAGGTTTGCTGGGGGGGGGGGGGGGGTTGGGGGGAGGAGGTCATTTTGGCCCTAACCCGCTCCACACATTGTTGGCGGGATTAACCGCAACTGATCGCCCCTTCTTTCTCCTTTTCTTTTCTTCTTCCTCTTTTGTGTTCCCCTTTAGCTCTCCTCTTTCCTTTTCCTTCCTTCTCTCTCTTTTTTAAACGGGGACGGGGAGTGGGGGAGGCAAGTGCCTCCCCCCCCCCCCCGATCCACAACTTGTTGGCGGGAAAATTGCAACTGATATCCCCCTTCTTTTCTTATCTTCTTCCTCTTTAACCCTCTTTTCCTTTTTTTCTTTCGCTTTCCTTCCTTTTCTTTTCTTTCTTTGATTGGGGGGGGGGGGGGGCAACAGCCTGGGAGGCAAGTACTTTTGCCCCCCCCCCCCCACCATCTCCTTCTTCCCTCCTTTCTTTTCTTCTTCCTCTTCTTTTTTCCCTTTCTCTCCTCTTTCCGGATCCCTTCTTTTCCTTCTCTCTCTCTCCTTTTTTATTTATTTATTTTTTTATTGCGGAGGGGGGAGGCAAGGCCCGCTCTACCCCCCCCCCCACCCCTGGATCCGCGCCTGAGTGAACCTGCCCAGACAGACTAGTGAAGATGCTTGGGAGCTAAGCCGAAGATCTCGGGGAGAAATTGGTTCGAATCCCCGTGGAGAAAGATGTAACCAAATCAGAGGCGGCGGAGCGACTTTCAAAGTGGGGGAAGGGGGGGGGCACCAACAAAAAAGGGCACTTTCTGGAAAAAAGGGCACCTATGAACGGA